ATATGAGAATCGCGATTATTGATTTGGTTTGGGACCACTTTTCACCTCCATCTTCGGCTATATCCTTTCATTCCCCTGGTCCAGGCTCATCGGCGATGTTCACCCGCTCCTAGTTATAGAGTTACTCTTCTCGCTTCTCTGCAATGTTAGTACGAATGAACACGTCTGGCAAGACAAAAAGTCTCAAATTCTCAGAGTTTGAGCAAAATTCTGATGCAGCATCCCAGAATCGTGGAATAAAAAAGGTATGGTTCTAAACATTTTTAAACACCATCAACGAAGTTCGATTTGAGCTGCGGCACCGTACCAGTCCTCCAAAGATGCTATCACGTAAAGCAAAATTTCATTTCGATCCCATTGTTTAACGGAGTTTTCAAATTAACTTTCATAATTAGACAAGTTTCTCGTGAATTCATTAAATTACAATCTCTATAACGTCTTACTTCTCCCATTTTATGACCGTCATTGTCCACAAAAATCTAATTTATAGATTCAATCTTCTAAATCTTCATGAAGGAAAACTATGACGCTAAATGCCAATCGATTAATCATACCTTCCAGAGAGGAGCATTCATAAAAATAAGTGAAACGAAAGTATTGTTTTCTTTAGAAGAAATTTGGTTGGCCTCTAGTTTCTGAGACGAACGTTCTTGTGGGTACATTGAATCAGACAGAAGACACTGCACCTGAGGGACACCGGACAAAGTGTCAAAAATCCTGCCATTGTCGAGACTTGAACCCCGGGACCTCCCTGTCAGAGTCTCTGCAGTGACATCAATTGATGCTCTGAGACATCTAAGCCTGTAGGTACGCGGTAAGATTTTATAGACTGCATAATTTATTCATAATTAAATTCTTAACAAAATTATTTTTGTAAATTAATATTCCCGAAAACTTTTCTGGAAGAAAGCAAGTTTCATAACACAAAAGATCGTATTTACCCGATGGAACTAAAGGCATAGGTTTTACTAGCAGACGCTCAGTGCACTCCGCGCCTTTTAATCTTGAGCGAGCTTCCATTCCGATAGCCCTCGCTTCGGAGACAGGGTATCCGGTTTCTGGCGTAATTTTTCCTCCCCCCCCCCTCGGCAGGAGGCGCTGTCCCATTTCCCTCTCCGACCTCTGTTGCTCGGCCCCCGCGAACAAAGGCGTAGCGCGGAGCGCCTTTGAGCCCCTCCGCAGCCATTGACATCCGCTCGCGGCGACACCCTCTTTTCTCTGACTCCCCGTGCACAACGACCGGCTGCAGCTAGGGGGGGGGGGAGTGCACAGTCAGTAATAAGAGAACTCGCAAACTTTAATTAATAATGTGTACAGTAATCCCTTCAACACCCACGAATTCGCGAGTTTCGGACATTCGCGATCAGAGAAATGCTACCGGAAATTTTAATATTCACGACTTCTACATTCGCTAATGCGTCATTTGGTTAAGCTACATTTCCCTTAAAAGCGACTGGATTTGAGATTATTCAACACCGTTAACTGGGAATCGAACTCGGCATGTACCAGAGCTCACGATTTACAAAAATGTGTAAGTTGAGATTGTAATTCAGATTATAACTATTAACATACCTAGAAATGTTATGAGTGTTATTACTGCCGATGCCAAAAGTTAAAAATCGAGGCGGAGCGTAGCGGAGCCGAGATTTTTAATTTGGACGAGGCATTAATAACACTATAACATTTTGTAGTATGTTCAGCGTTTTATCGGTCACCATAATATCTCAATTAAAAAAAAATTACATTACTGCGATATGAAACACATGAATTCTGTTGTTGCGGTCCGATAATCGATATTGTTGGGTATTGCTTGCGAAATATCTATTTCAACAATACACTTGTATACTGTAGCTCGAGGAAGATGGACGCTGAAAATTCGTCTGAACGTCAAGAAATGTTGGCTGCATCTGCGGAAGCCACGCGAGATTTAATCCCTGAAAAATCTAAAGCACGATTGATTACTATTAGTCTTGTGATGTGATTTCTTCGTAATCATGTTGACTTGCGATGAATGGGTGGGTGTTTATTTAGGTTACTAAGGATGTTAAAACCCGTTGCTACGGATTTTAAATTTCTTAACCTACAGGTGCACTTAACAAACGTATAACCGTAGGGTTGCATGTTAACAAGGGCTAAAGACATTTGTTACCGATAAATAGAATAACACAATTTTAAAGTAATTCAATTAGGCTGGAGGTAAGGTTTTTGACGACATGGATGGAAAAGCCATTCAGAATCTTCGCAACTCTTTGGAGGATGGATTGTATCCTGATCAAAGTAGGGAGTTATATATTGATGTGAGACAAAAAATTGTCTTCCTTGTTAAATGTTAATAATACTATCCGATTAGAAATGAGACAAGGCCAGGGGATATTTTTCAATTTTAAATAAGATAGAATATTTCAGTTGATACTATAAACGTAATGGGATGAAGTACTATGATGGATTCTTGAACAAATAAATCTTTATAAGGTGGTGGGTTCGAGAAGTCGAATAGTGTGTAAATGTTTCATAAAAATATTGTTCACAAATGTAACTCTTGCTTCGATAGTTTCTGCTCCACTGCTCTGGGTTTTGAGTGGCGGTATAGGATCACTTGTGAATAGTTTTGTTTCAATCCATAGAGTTCAATCGCTTATTGTGAAACGGAAAACTACGACACTGCTCAATTCGTTTCATAGCAAGGAGCAATTTAACTTTTCTATTTAAATTACAGGTATTTCTTTTTACATGAAGAGGGTGGTCGTTCTGTCTTAATACTCGGTAATGATGTTTAAGTTTCCTTTGTACAGGCATGTGATTAGGAAGAATTATACGATGCAAGTTTAGAAAAGAAAAGTGATTTTCTGTGGCTAATTTAGTAAACAAAGATATGTATTCAGTAAATAGTAATACTTGGCTGTTGATGCCACGTTTTGGAATGGTTGGTAGTATAGAATGCAAATGAAAATCTGTAATTTTCTGGAAGAGAAGTCAGTTTAAAATGTCTATTGGGTAATTGATATTTGGATCTTCATTGGATATCTGTGGACAATTGAATTTTAGAAGATTGATTAAAAAGAAACTTCAACTTGTATATGATCATCTACTAATCCTGACATTGGTTTCAAAGTATTGAGATGAATAGGAACGTTCGCAATGACGACAATATTAAATTCGTCAGGTGGGATTCTCTTAGTGACATTTTAAATGGATTGTAGGAAGACATATCTCGAACAATAATCTTAAATTATTATTATTATTATTATTATTATTATTATTATTATTATTATTATTATTATTATTATTATTTATTACTGAGAAAACAATATTTGCACATTGGTACTTCGAAGACACGTAGCAGGACTTTCAAAGATTCGTACAATCACGCCTCGTCGATTCTTCTTCTCCCCAACTTCAAATGATGCGGATTGCGTGTCGCCACGCGCTCGTTTATTACCCGGTCGTAAACGCTGAGCAAACAGTCACATCCCGCCACTAATCTCACTCTGGGGCGCGTGACCGCGAGTTTGAGATATGAAACGTGAAACCTGCCACGCTGCTTCCAGAAATAGATTGATTGTTGGTGATTCAGGGAGCGTCAACTAATTATTATCGTAAGTAGTATTGCATGTTGTGCTCGTGAGGTGTCTGTAAAAAAGTATTGGTGGTCCCATTTTCGACGGACTCTTCGAATTTTCGAAAATTTCAAAGAAATAACATTACAAAAATAGAATACTGGTGACAGAGATAAAATACAATTTTGATGATAGGTGTTTTCAGCAAATCTGTTCTAAAATACTATTTCTTTCAATGAAGTCATGTACAATTTTTTTAATGAGTCGTTTTGTCGTAATTTATGCTTGAATTTAATGCATTTTATAATTCAATACCTCAAAACGGCTCTAATTTTTTTAAATGCTTTCCACGGATAGATAAAAAGGTCGGTTAAAAAATTGCTCCGGTTTCATTTTGGGTGAACTCTGATGTTTCGAAAAGTCCCAAAGCTAGAAATAATGCGAGAAAGTATGTGCTGTTGTATCACCACTAGTTCTTTTAGTTGGTTTTGGAAGTTTCTAGGCAACAGACATGTGTTGCGTTTCAAGCAGTTGGTGAATAGAGATTGCACCCGGTAGCTGATATATTAGAAGTAATTTTCAATCTCATTATATTTATTTTACATAACCGTCTTTATAATTTGCAAAATAAAGAGAAATCGATGTTATGTTGCAGAGACGTCAACCTAGAGAAAAACAATTGGAAACGTTTTGAGAAAATGGCTTATATGTACTTTGTTGAAAATTATTTCACTCTAAATTACTATTTATTTTAAAATAAATACATATGCTTTGAAAAAATTGTACGTAACGTTACTTAGAGATCTCACTTTGAACAATGGATATCATTGAGAAAAAGAATTATGTCTAATAATGTAGGAGTAATGCTTTCGTGTTTTTTTTGTTTGTTTTTTTGTTTTGTTTTTTGCAATTTTCACGGCTTTAGACGTTTTAATGAAAATCAGATCCGTCGCATTTCTATAAGTGCACATTTCTGTACTCCACCAAAAAGTTGAAAACATAATTGCCATTTTTGAGCAAGTTTTGTAACTGTCCTAAGGGTTTTATTTAAAGTACCTGAAAATAGAAGAGCTGCTTCAAATTCGTAGAACCCCGAGAAAGCGTCTGTGGATGGGATAATATCCATTTTGAGGAAAAAGTGTAACGCTTTGGTGGAAGTGTTATGGACAGTGATCACGCTGAACGATGGAGCAGAGACAGACGTTTAAAAAAAACTTGTTTTTAGCATCCCCCAAAAGTACTGTCATCGTAATCTCACCATTTTTTTCGCACCACTACAATACTCGTCTCTACTACAAATACGAGAAAGAAATACACTCATATATGCCTAGCCTCAGGAACTACATTTACACAGCAAGAACAATAACGATTGCCGAAACAAAAATATTGAACTTAAATAAGCGTTATGATATGATAATGATTCATTTAATGAATTTTACTTACCTCTATGACGTAATCGTGATCATCGCACGTATCAAAATGTCTCATGAACGTGAATTTTGTGACATTGTGTCGTTGCACATGTCGGAATTCAAGACAGTTCTGATCTTTATCTACCTCTAACAGACCATCTTCGTTAGCCCATGTATCCTGCGAGAGGAAGGTGAAACATATTTATCACCCAAGAAGTTGGTGGTATGTAGACTTTGAAACAATTAGATTTTTACCTCCTGTTTGTTCAAATTCCATCTCAAATAAAGTGAATCATTACTTGCAAACTTATTTCTATGAATTGCTCTATGCGAAGAGCAGAGGAGTAAATTTGTACATTCTGATCAGTAAAGACTGCAAAAAATCATTTGAAAAAACGTAGTTTTCTAATGCCTAAAAGCTAAAACAAACTGCTATAAGATGTAACTTGTGTATTATTTTAAACACGCATTACATTAACTAACATTTAACACTTTTTTTTTTTGTATTCCAGTATTATATTCCAGCATGACATTTTTCATTACAAGAAATATTTCATAAAATGTTATCTTATGGCATGTATTATGACGTATTTGCCGTTTATGGCAAAATTGCATCATCACACATTGGGCCAATAGCAGCGAGAGAATCGTGGGGAGGCCGCGGTAAACTGAACAGCCGACCAACGTTTTTTTCCCACAGATATCAAATACCCGTGACGTCACCATAAAATTGCTTCCAAAAAATAATTTTGATTCTCTTATAAATTTAAAATGCTGTGATACAAAAAATTAGGGTAGCCCAATTGTTTATAATATTGCTTTATTGCACTGGTGCAAATTTGAAAACTTACTTCAAACGTTGTTCTTTTTTTGTACTCATGCAATAAAACTTAACATTATAAACTAGTTGCCTAATATATTATTAATACCCTATACAAATCACAGCTTAAATTATTTTGATAATAAAAATCACCTCTTTTTTGACCAGAGGTTTCCAACGGGCTCGATATCGACCCTCTGGGGGTCGAAGAAATTTTGAAGGGGAACAGTGATGATCAATATTTGGGTTCAATATCCGAATATGGACCGACAACTGAGAATAATCAAAAATTCTATTGATTACAAAAAAGTATTAATGCACTTGATAATTGTTACGTTATTAATACACTTGACGAGTTACGATGTTTAGGGAATTGAAGAAATCATAGCAATGCATTCTCAACGACAATCTAGGGCGCAAGAAAATTCCGCAAAACGCATTCGAGAAATGTTATGGCCATTTCTCAAAAAACACCCAACATTTTATAACGATTGCACTTCAGTGAAGATTAGAAAGTCATCTACAGAAAAACGGCAGCGTCTACAATTATTGAAATTTTGCGAGAATATTCTACGAAATTCTTTTCTTTAAGGCATTTAAGTGCAATTCGTTACGTTATTATTACGGATGCTGTATATTACAGAGAAAACGTAAGAGGGTCGATGAAGCAAACCATTCTTTTAAAAGGGGTCGATGATAGAAAAAGGTTGGGAATCCTTGTTTTAGACTATAGATATGTTACTTCTCTAAGAAGGGGCCGCTTTGACACGTCGGGAAACAAAGGAACGTCCAGCAGGGTGATGGCATTGGAAGAGGCAGTGATGAAGCCCATTACAAATGAACTAACAGTAAACGAACACACGGACAAAATGAGTGCATGGACGTAACATACAGTTACGTTGCCAGCAGTGTCTAAGCAGTAGCTGTCAAAGCGGTCCCTTCTTAAGGCCCATTCACAACGCAAACGTAATCATACGCATAACGCATAGACGTAAACATTAACATAAGTGGTGGACTGAAGTACTCACAATGTCTAACATAAACGTAGGCAAAAATAAGAGTTTCTGTTGGCTTTGAGACACTCTAGTTTACAACAGGTGAGATGTGAAAATTGATTTCGAATTTTCGACTGTGTCCATAGCCCATACGGCGTTAGTTCGTCTATCGACATAGGTGTTGTGGTAGGATATCTTTGGCATTTTTAAAATAATTAAAGATGTTGTCATTGCCAACAATGTTTTTTAATTCAAAAGCAGCTTTCGATGGCTTAGCCATCATCCTCAGTTGTCTGATACAAGAAGAAAAACACAAAAAAACAAAAAAACATTAAACGTGAATTAACAACAAGATTATGATAAAGGTTACAATAATTTACAAATTTTTTGGAAAATACATTTGACAACGGGAGACAGAAAAAGTGGGGGGGGGGGGTTAAGCCATTAATACAGGGCTGAGCATTAATACAGGGCTACATACAACTGAGGATGATGGCTAAGCCATCGAAAGCTGCTTTTGAATTAAAAAACATTGTTGGCAATGACATCGTCTATCGACGTCGATTCCTTATTTTGAGATAACGTACTGTGATTGGTTCATTTCTTGTCTTACTTCAGCATAAGCACAGCAGCTTGCAGCTTTTAAGTTACCGTGTTATGCTTAAACGAACGTATTGTGAATGAGTCCTAACTTCCATGATAACGCCATGCTCATGTTCGCATTGTGAATGGGAATGTAGCGAAGAGGCGCGCGCGGGTACCTGGAGCGCGACGCGGCCGCGCCAGTCCCGCCACAGCACGCAGTAGTCGGCCGGCGCGGCGGCGCCGAAGTCGGGCAAGAAGCCCAGCGCGAGCCCACGCGTGCCCCGGCGGCGCCTAGGGCGTGCAGCCTCGAAGCGCACGGGCGCGGGCGCGCCTCGTCGGCTTGCGTCCACGGCAGCGCCAGGCGGCCGCCGCGTCCCAGCGGCACGCCGAACACCGGTGCGCCCGCGCCCGGCCGCCAGCCCTCAGCCCCAGCCCCAAGCAGCAGCAGCGCCAGCGCACGAGCCGGCTTCTCTCTCGGCCCACGCCGCGTGCGCCCCGGTTATAGTACGGCCCTCCATTCCCCCGCCGCCATACCCTCGCCTCCGCGCCCCTGCCCGCTTCCCTCACCTCCCTGCGCCGCAGCTCCACCCCGGACCGCCCCGCGCCGCAACGCCCGTCCGCACCGCCTCCCGCATTAAATACCGCTGCTCCATTCCCCGCCGCCGCCGCCTCCCCTCCTTCCTTGCTCCCTGGCGCGCCGGCACCGCGCAACGCACTTTCCGCCCGCCACCCCCGCGCGCCTCCCTGCACAACTCAGCGCATCCGCCCTTACACGCCCGCACCGCGCCCCCACGCACGCACGCCTCAGCCCGCAAGGCGCCCGCACAGCCCGCACGCCCCCGCGATATAATACGCCCTCGGTTTCCTCACCGTCCACCACCCCCTGCCAGCCCGCCTCTCCCGCCTTGGCGCTCTCGCCGCCGCTCCACCCCGACCCCGCAACGCACCTCCTCCCCGCCCCGCCACGCGCCCTGCCACCCGCGTAAATACCCTCGTTCCCCGCCCTAACCTCCCGCCCACCTCGCATCTCCCACGGCTCCGTCCCTCCCCTTTGCGCAGCCTCCCACAGCCCCGCACCCGCGCCCGCCACCCTCGCCACTCTACGCACGTTCCCCCGCCAACGCCGCCCCTACCCACGTCCCGCGCGCCTCTCTGTCTGGCGCCGCTCCCTCGTCTTCGCTCACGACCCCCCGTCACCCTGCACCCCTCCCTCGCCCACCTTGCCGCGGCTCCGCATAATAATCCCGTCCGAACTCCCTTCACGCCGACTCCACTCCACCTCTCCTCAAGTACTTCGCCCCCTCGCCGCCCCACCTCCGCGCACGCGCTTCGGCTTCTCCCTTGCATCGCATTTACATATTTTTTCGGCATTAATTTTTTCTTCGTCACAATATTTTCATTTCTTTTGTAAATAATAAATACTTGTAAGTTTCTGGAGTGTTTATAAGTTTCTGAAATGGCAAATTTTGCATAGAGAAAAGTATTTTTCCAAGTTGAGTTCTTATTGGTAGGCTTAGCCATTTGAAATATCGGTTGGAGTTTATTACACAAATAGTTATTACCGTCGTTAAAGAGCTTAATTTCGAAGTTTCGTGCCCCGCCCTCTCCAACACCAACCGGACACCAAGGGAAATAGGCTGGCAGGCTTGATAAACTCCGTTAAAAAAAAGTAATCTGCATTATTCCCAAGGATGCTCCGCTGCAATAATAAAGGTAGGCTAGCCTTACTGACACCCAAGCTATAATGGGTTGCATTCGCAAGCTATGGGCCCTTCCGACTAAAAGCTCAGGTACGTTTAAGTGTCCTTTATTCGTTGATATTAACTAAACGTGACCTAATACGCGCCTTCGGACTATAAACTATAGTAATAACTTCAATAATTAAATAAATAGGTAAATTAAAATATGATTAAATATGGCTTTAGTTTTTGTCTCTTCGCCTGACCGGACTCAAAGTTAATGCTATAGTAATAATAAATAGGAGAAATCGTCAAGGAAATACGTTTCTACCATTAGGAGGAAGGGTGTTTTCACGAAACTGACAGAAAGTGAAAACGAGGTAGGAGGTGAGAATGATGTCGTAGACTTTCGAAGCAACAGAGTCATTGAATAATCTTGGCGTGTCAGTGACGCCGGCGCTCGAAGGCTTGTGTTGCCATGACGTTTTGTCCATCTTATCGTGACTTCCTCAATAGAGGCCGCCGAGAGTACCAGATTCAATATTCGAAACCGGCAACAACCAGCCAAAGACCGGCGTCACCTGGCAGCAAGATCATTCACAAGAGGAAGGGAAAGACCTTCGAGAAGAAGGGCCCCTCTCATCCGCATTTGTGTGAAATATTACAGACGTCAGGTTGTAATTTCGCCTTAAGCAAGTAATTACCGATCCAGGGATTTACTCAACCGCTAAAGGTGTATGCTGGGATGGTCGTTACTTGCAGGCCCCAGGATTAATATGAATAGACGTT